TATATATATATATATATATATATATATATATATATATATCTATAGCAAGCAAGAAAAGTTGTACAGAACGTATATATCCCAACCCCTGAAAAAAAACATGACTTGAGCTTATTTTAAATTAGAATCAAGGTTTATTTAAATCATAGGGAGGAACAAGACAAAGGTTGAATCATTCAGAACATAGTATATTCATAGAATAACTTTACATCGTCACGATTAATAGACAAAAAGATAACATAAAAATGGAGAATGAATAAAATATAGTGAGTGATATTGCACTTCGTTTTTAAAATGTTTCAGACCCCTTCACCTAAGTTTTTTTTTTTCTTTCTTATATTTCTGAACATTTCAGCTCCTGCCTTTATTATTAGGTCAGGAGTTTAGCTTAGTTTTGACACTGGACTACATCTGAAGCCCAAGCAAATGGACTTTGGTACTGACCAAACCTGAAGAAAAAAAATGTAAGCTTATTTTTCACCGCATAGTTTCCCTAAGATAAAAACCGAACAAAGAACTGCCAACTGCGTTTAGACAAGTTTACAACCAAGGAATTGTTTAGTCTAATACCCCATGTTTGCTAAATGTTTCTCAGGGTGTGGATGGAGGGGGGCTGATCAACAGCTGCCACCCACAGACCGGGATATGGGGGAGTAGGAAGCTAACTAAAAAGGTTGCTGGAAAAACAACCTGCAAGAATGCCCACAAAAAAACAGACAAAAAAAAGAAGAGATTTCTTTCTTTAACAGGATTTACTTTAAAGGACCTTTTTTTTCTCTTCCCTTTTTCTTCCTTTTGAATAACATCGAAAGGTCAAAGAACATACAGGCATGGACGAACACAAACCAGAACGTCTGTTCAGATGCTGAATAAAACCAAGAACCGCGTTCAGGTGTTTTTTCTGCAACAAGGCCACTAATATAAGATCACTTAAACATTCTGCAGTTTGTCCATCACCGTCGGAAGCCAGCAGGATCACGATAAGAACGCACACACGCAAACTAGTGTTAGCTAGGTCTCAAAAAAACAATAATGTAAACTCAAAAAGTCTTTAACATTAAAACAAAGAATAATGCTTTACCATCCTAAGCTACACTGCCTTGCTGAAAGCCCCTCCATTACATGATTAGTACCTACTTATTTCAAACCAGACCTTCACCACTGAATGCATTTTTGTTTGTTTTTTTTATTAAAAAGTGCTTTTTTTGTCTTTTTTTGTATGACCGTGTCAAACCTCTATTACAAGCAGTCTAATGTATTTAATGAGTTAGAAACCAATGTATTACTCATTTTTTCCTACTACTACTTGTTCTAATCAGCATGCATAGAGGCTTAACACGGCCCCCAGCTTTATATCTGTGCTGGGTTTGCTTCTTCAGCACAGAGGCAGACAATCCTCTTTCTTCATATGACTTTATTTTTTTTTTAATTAGCATTCTGGTTTCACTGGTCTGGTAAAATGTATCAGTCAAATCTATCAGCAAGTGCAGCAGGACAAAAAGGGAATGTGATTCATCTCAAAAAGCTGCCTTGCTTGGCTGCAAGTCTGTTTTCTAATTTTAGTTTAAAAAAAAAAGTTTTAGCAGTGCAATAAAAAAAATAAACCAAACCAAAAAATAAATAAATCACCTTTTCAACTGCTTGGCAAGAGAAAAAAAAAAGCCACCTGAGACAGTGCTTTTTGGGCAATAATGCATGCCAGATTTACTCTGGAATAAGGACTTGAGGGGATGCAGGCAGTTTGTCACACACCTATATTCTTGGCTTAACTGAGTGGCACAAATCTGTACTGCAGCCCCACTAGACCAGATCCAGAGAAGCCTTGGAACAAAAGAAAAACTAGAAAAGGCATTGAGCAGATGCAAATGCAACGCGAGAAAAACAGAACTACGCAACACAAAAAAAGGGGGAAGCTTGAAGCGGATCGAGCTCAGGGGGCAGAAATTAACTAAAACAGCTTTAACTGGTAGGAAGAAAAACAACTTCAGGTAAATTAGTCACCGTTGGAAAATATGTTGACTGCCCAAAACAAAATCAGTGCATGTCTTTCTTTTCAGTCTTTTTTGTATGTTTTCCAAAGTCAAGCGTTTTGCAGATGATAGTCTAAAAAGTTAAGCCTGCAGTCTGCTTTTTTCTGTCTGGCCTTTTGCAAAACTGAAACCAATCTATTAGTGATTTATATATATCTAAAAAATAATAACAATAATAAATCTCAGAGCAGAGCCATCCAACTCAAGTAAAGAACATATGTGCAAAACAAAAATCCCCATGAGGGCAAAAGGAATTAGTCTCATCTCTGTTTTAACCTCAGCTGCAAGCTTTAACTCACACAGACTATAATGGTTAGAACGTTTTTACTTTCCTTCCATCATCTCGTACTTTTAACGGTGATTCTACTGAAGTCTGGACATGATTAGTTTCCCACTTTGTTTAAGGAGTCACGTCCTTAATGTGCCACAGATACAGAAGAATCGAGGCTGAAGAGGAGCTTGGCAGGCTGAGCCTTGGTGATTCTTTCTCTCCAGCATCCTCAGGGCTCCGCCGCTAGCCTCCACACAGGCTGAATATTCCTCAGGAAGATGGTGAATCCCCAAACTACAGACAGATTTTTCTCTTACTGAGGAATGGCGGAACACGTTTGCCCCGTCCAGCTCGACGCCAGGCAAGTCTTTGTAGATCAGGACTTATGGTTTTTTCTCGAGAACTCAACATTGTCTATGCCGTCATCCGAGAAAATGTCCAAAGCTCAGCCTTTCAAGCAGTTTCCTTTAGCTACCCTGAACCACTCAGGATAAATTCAAAGAAATGCTCAGCGTGATGGACAGGCATCAAGCCTGCGCTCATCTGCACAGCTGGAGTGATCTGGGTTAGGATCAATCTGGTGAGGGAAAAAAAAAGGAGAAAACATAAGATTATTTAAGAAAAGGGATGATGCTTGAAAACGCGAATGATCACATGACATTAGTGCTTCTTACCTCAGAATACAGAGGAGGAGGTTGGAAGCGAAACTCATGGATGTAGGCCAAAAGAGGACCATCGAGCTCCTCTCGGACTGAGGGGGCATCCAGACGGCCTTGTCTCTGCTCATCTGTTACAATTTCTGCATAGCTTGGAGGAGCTGCAGGTGTAAAAACAAAGAAATCAGTATTTTCAAAATAAATCCCAGATTCATTTAGAGAAGAAGAGGAACAGAAGAAGAGGATCTACCTTCAGGCCTCTCTGGTAGACCCATGCTTAGCCAGCTCATGCTGCACTGGCTGCTGACACTTGACGTGCGGGAGCCAAACGGGTGGAGAGGAATGGTTCCAATGACCAGCGGTAAGTTCAGAGACAGGTTTATCGCCCCTGGGATGTCCACGTACACCTAAACACAAAGGCAGTTGAAAAGTCAATCAGGGGAAAAGCAAATCAATTCCTTCAGTTTTTTGGTGCTTTTTTAAACAAGGACCTACTCTATAGGTTAGGTAATAGCTTGACATGAGATTTTAGATATGGGTCAGTGTCTGGTGATCAGTTGCTAAAGCTGGCATGATGACTTTTTGAAGGGTAATGAGCTTATAAACACACTGAGGGCAGGTTTGCTAGACGTTTTTCAGGCTAATGCTCTTAGTATCCTGTAGAGATAACACCCAGCTACAGTCCAAGGCTTAGGCCTGACCATGTAAGTTGTCCCTGAGCAAATAATGCACTACTAGGAAATATTGATTTAATACTGCCATCAGTTCTGAAAATAGGTGGCGATCATAACAGTATGTAGGCAGAAACCCTTGGATCTACATGCCTCTCATATCTGAACATTTGACCAATACGTTTTAAAAGTATGAGGGAGTAACCCACCCACTGGTGGCCTGCACTCACCATAAGAGAGTACTCCACCCGGATGATGCTGCACTCCAGGATGGAGGGCGAAACAGGAGGAATCTTCAGCATCTTGCCGTTCCACGTCTCCGTTTTCCCGGAGGACAGAGATTCTCCCCGCAGGTTGGCGACCAGCTGCTTGACCTCCTTCACCTTCCCTTTGGCATAAAAGGTCTGGGTCTGGTAGATGGCGGCCTTTGGCACTACCATGCGAGATGAGCAGTTCTCGATCTCTGCAAAGATTTGAATCGACTCTCCTGCGGGGTCAAAAGGGAAATAAGCAAGTTAAGTAGGGTTTTTAAAAAAAAAAAAGGAGCACTCAGATTTACATGGATTAAGAAAATTACAATAAAATAAACTATTGTATTATCACTAGTAGTCTCACCTGGGGTGTACCCTTTCCTTTCAATTTTGGCACTTAGGGAAATAGGACCTGAGGTGCAGAACCAACAGCAAAGTGTCTTATCTGCAGTGCCAGCCTGTGGTGACTGAGGAAGTAGGAAAGAAAAAAACAACACAATTTATACCCTATTTTTAGTCCACAATATAAACATGGATAATAACTGATTTTACAATGCTATTCCTCCTGTTTAAGAATTAAGGGTTATTTTAGGGGAGCTTACCAATAGTAGTGGAGTGTTGATATCAATGTGCTCAAAGACTGTAAATTCCTTCTTGGTCTTCATTGGAAGAAGCCATGGCCTGTGGAGCTCTGCCTTTACCCAGTAGCGCACACTGCCATGCTTTCCTTCGAAAGAGGTAGCCAGAGGTCTGTAGAAGAAAGGCAACAAGGAAAAGAGGAGATTTTAAAAAAATTGTTACGATAGCCACGAAAAGCAAAGAGTCAATGAAGCATAGGCAAAAACACATCCTATTTGGGCTATATGTGATAACCAGACCACTTACGTCTGTGGAAGCTCGAGGCTGAACGCATACTCATGCCTTCCTGCATGGATGGTAGTGAGTCCTTCCTCCGAGTTATCATCGTCTGAAAAACAAGGAGGACACTATTCCAAACACATGTATACCATACCTGGACATAATGCTCTACGAAGGCATCTGAAAGTCATACCACAAAAGAAAAAGAAAAAAAAAACAAAAAAACAAAACAAAGGGTGGGGGAGACAAAAAGAGAATAAACGTATTTTACAATTAAATCTGTCTGTAAGAAATTAATGTATAGAGAAAAAAAATAGGCAGAGCATTATTAAAAAGGATGCTAAATTAGCTGACTGATTGGAGAGATGGTGTGCATTTGCACGAACAAAGAACAATATATAATTAATGGGGCTCCTACACATTTTTTAATTTAAACTAATGAAAAGCCTATTGTCATTTTTTTACGGATTAGACCTTTTCCAAAGCCTATTTTTATTTCATAATCCAAAATTACAAAATTTAGTTTTTAATAAAGGAGCATGTGTTTATATTGCGTATGTAGAGTTTGTTAAAAACACACAAAATGGGAAAAAGCAACTGATGCTGAGTTTAAAATGGGGTTTTGCAAAATGGACATCAAAAAGGATTTTATCTAATGCAAATCAATTTAAAAACTACCCATTTCTTAGAAATTAAGGATTTCTCTTTTATTTTCTTTTTCATTTTTGCTTGCAGGATACGTAATGTGTTCATAACTGTTAGGTAATGGAATAAGGAAGCAGTTTTTGTTTAGTCTTACTCGAAAATAAGAAAACGCCGTGTAAATATATATATTTTTATTCAACAGTTTGAAAAGGAATAGTTTAACTAAGCTGTAGAAAGATATCTGCATTTGCCAGCTCAGCACACCCTCCCCCTAGCAGCAGCAGTGTGGTAAACAAGTGCGGATCTGTCACTCAAACGGCAGCCTCCAACAGGAGGAGACCGGCCTAAACCGGTGCAAGCAGCTTCTCCACAGCAGCCTGCAGCCCTTATTCAACGCGTGGCGCTGCAGTGCCTGTTACCACAAAACATGTCGCACGTAGTTTTTACATAATGACAACCTTTTTTCGATATTGAACGCATTTAATATGTTTTTGAAATTATTTTTTTATTAAAACCTACCGCCGACTAAATTTTATAAATGAAATTTAACAGCAAATCTTCTAAGGCTTTTACATTAGCTAATAAGTGTACAATAAACTACAATTAAACCAAATATGGACGTCATTACAAAAAATAAAAAGTTTCCTGTAATGCAGATAACATCAATCCGCTGCAGGTGTTTTCCTTATTAAGAAAGTTGCCGAATCGTCTGTCACTCTGCAAAACCATGGCGTCATCGGCCACACAGCACAATCTCGACCAATCACCAGCGAGCGAAAGTGACAACCCCGCCCACTCTCAATCCAGTTTCTGAACAGGATTGAACCGCTTTGAACAATAGGGGAAAACTTCGACGTTGTTAACTAATGAAATTACCAAAAAAAAATTTTTTAAATAACATCTATAAATAATTTTAAGATTCCAACGTTGTTCCTCAGATTACTCACAGTTTACTGTGTTCGAATATAAACTTTCAATATAGTAAAACAAAGAAAGATGCTCAAGATGCTGTCATTCATTCTGACACTGACTAAAAGCAAGGAAGGAGACACTCTCAGAAATTAAAGTCTAACGGATTTATAAACTATATAATGTTAGTCATTTAATTCACACACGTATGTTATTTTAACGATTCCACAAAAAAATAACCATGACATAGATGTTTCTAACAAAGTTTGAAGCAGAAACTTACCTCTCTCATGCCCAATTAAAATGTCTTTGTGATTCAGGTATTCCACTTCCTCTGTGTAGTTCTGTGTATAGGCAGTGTTGGATCCAGCGTTTCTCGACTCGGTCCAGCGAACTTTTGCGAAACCTTTCGCGTGGATTTTGAGAGACTTGACGCGGATTTCTCCGGTGACTTCGATGATCACCCTCCCTGAGACACAGTCCCCGCTGGAGAACACGGGGACATTGCTGTCATTAAAACAGTCGTAGCTTACGACGAAGCTCTTCACCTTTCCTAGCACCATGGCGGAGAAGAGATCTTTAACATAAAAATAAAAAAATCTCAAAAGGGTTGGGGTTTTTTGCAGATTTTAGACACTGATCAGTATCTCTGCCCTGCAAAAAGCAGCAGGCACGATCAGTGGCTTCTTTTTGAGCAGTTCATTGAGCTTTATGAAGGCTGACTAACAGCAGTGGATGCTGTTATCATCCGCCTGTCCTGCTTGGCAGTCTCTAGTCACAGACAAGGAAACCCCCAAAGCTCAGCTCATTTTAAGGGACAGGCTGGGTGAAAAACAACCTAGTGCGCATGCGCGAAGCTCTGCTGCCCTCCCTCCTGCTTTAGTAGGCAGCAGAGTAATTCTGCTCGCATTCAGATAACAAGCAGGCTACAGTCAAACACCTGAAACGCTTCCTTAAAAAAAAAACACACAAAAGCATGCATTTGCAGTTATTTCAACAGTGGGATTTTACATCAAAAGTATATTATATTTTATCTAATCAATTGATTTAGGTTTTAAATGTTTTCCTTTTGCAGGAAGGGAGTAAAATGCATCTTTTGTCTGTGTTAGAATATGGTGACATTATTTTCCTCCTGTCTCTGCTTGTAGGATTCTCTGAAATACTCTTTTTTTTCCTATAATGCCTGTCATAATAGTATAATACCATGCCTGCATTTTATAGCATCATGCCTTCATCATTTGAAAAGCTTCACAATAGTCGTTTCAGTATCTTTGTTGAATATCTTCAAAAGGCTGTGTGTGCTTTAACACATAATGGTTTTTTACATATCTGTATCTGAGCACTGCATGTTGCATGATGTCATCAGGTAAAGCCATGCATATTTGTTGGAAATAATGCTTTTCCACGATTTGGGAGCCTGGAAGCTCGAAAATACATGTTCTGTTTTTAGATTTATTGCATTAGATTAATGTGAAACAATCTTTTCATACAGAGGGATTGTTCCTATTGTGTTGAGCTCTGTTTTTCCAGAAAAACAACTCCTCAGGCTCAAAACGCCACCTGGTGGTCATCATAGTTTCTAACACGAGCTGCAGGACCACCTGTTGAATGCTGCAGGAGTGAAAGCCCCTATGTAATGGGGACCAGGACCATTACCCCATGAAATATAATTATTGATTTTGTGTTATGTAATATTAACTTGGAACAAATAGTTGTTTGAGTTCTTTGTTGTGGTTTTGTTTGGACATTTTTGCCATACTTTCTTGTGAAGCAGAAGAACTGGCCATCCTACCTGTGGAAAGACATTAATGTCAGTTATTTTTCCTTATTTTCTGTTTAAGTCAAAGCACCTTCCTTTTCCTAATTTTGGCTCCTCAGCAGAGTGTGGCTGAAAAATGTAGAAGTGCACCAGGTGCTGCAATGAACTTGGAGCAAACCAAAATTATCAGGAGGGTAGTTTGGGATGTGTTTAGTTAAGTTTGATGGGTTTTGTGATTGACTTTAGATTTGTCTAATTGTATTGATTTCTATGTATGTAAATATTACTTCAGGTGTATAGCTTCTTGTTTTGGTGTAGGTTTGTATGTATATTAATTTTGCTTCTTTTTCTTAATAATCCCTTTTCATGGTTCCTTTCTTTATGTCACCTGAATTGAGTTCGGTATAGTATGCTGTTTGTTCTTTTTAGTGTAAGAAGCTGTTGGTGTGCACAAGCTAGAGTTAAATAAAGCCACCAAAACATCAGTTTGTCTTGCCTCTCCATTAAATATTGGGCGTCCGCCGGTCAAGCTGACACCCTATATTTCCACACAAAAATAATATCTTAATAATGTTTACATTTCTTTCCAGGCTGTCTATCTAACAAAAAATGTTTATCATAAGGAATCCCACAAATAGGTATCAATCTGCCACACCATGAAAAGAAACACTCTTGGTCCCAAATTGTAGATTATCCAGTAAACCTAACACACAGAGTCAAATTTTCTTGCACCTTAAAAAATAAAGTTATCTGTTAAATATATTCAAAGGCTTGTGTGTGTTCTTTTACACATAATGATTTTTTGTTTGATTTTTTTTTACAGTGTCCTGTCCGGCAATGTGGCAATAAGAATAATTGTCTTGATGCCAAAAAGAGCCCAACAGATTTTGCTTTCACAAGTGGAGCAGAACGGCTATCGCCATAGTGTTCCACTATATTTATGCATATATAGCTTTATTATAATTCATGCAGGGAGAATTACAGATTTTATGGACACTGCAAACACATAATAATTTTACATATTACGTCACTAAACCTCTGAATTTGAGTTAGTGAAGGTTGTTAAAAAGAAGGCCTGCTTACATACAATTCCTTCACACTTTTTAGGCCTACTTTTGCATAAGAGGAGAGGAGTCTGTAAGTTAATGGTTCAGTATAGTTTTTTTGTTCAGGGTGTAAAATCTTGTGTATTTATTATTTTAGCCATGAATTTAATTACTTCTTTGGCGTCACTTATTAGCTTTTGTTGCAAGGCCATATTTTCCTGCTGTCTATCATTGGTTCTATTCATTGGAGGCAAACCAACAGAATAGTACTTTAATGCATGTAAATGAGAAGAAACTTCATTATTCTTATTGTTCTGCAACAGAGATCCCATAGTGGAGAGCAATATCATCCAAATCCAAAACCACTGTCCTTGTTGTAATAATGTCTATGCAATTATTGGCAAGTTTATCTTATGTGGGAAATATAGAAAAACAAAGTTGTCATTGAAGAACAGGGAGGCCCCTGATCAGACGGAAATCTGGATGATAGGTGTTTTTAATCAGTATGTTTTATAAAAGTTTTATATCAGCAAAACATGGACATATTTTTTATCAATTGTATTCCATCTCAGAGCTTCGGTCTATGAGGGCCCGAGGTATCTTGCATTTATTCTCGGTCCAACACACCTGAACCAAATGGTTGAAGTATGCATTCAGTTTTTCCATTATCCTCTCAATCATCCAATTACTTGATTCGTGTCTTTAAACTAAGGACACATCTAAAAGTTGCAGGATACCGTCCCTAAGGAACTGGAATTGCCCTACCCTGATCTGTAGGGTTTATTTTGTCACATGTTACTTTTTCATTAAAAAGTGACCATACCATAACTAAATATTATTTTGACTTCATCTATACTTACAGACACTTTTACAACATAAATGCAACAAAAATATAGACGATAGTGGTGATCCCTGCCGAGGTTGCTTAGCAACAATGTGTTTGAAGAGTTTTGCTACTTGGATAAATGCTGCCCTCTAGTGTATATTTTATGTATTAAGCGGTCAGAAGCGATGGGTTTGATTTGATTTGTGTGAATTTTGTTTTGTTAGATGTGTGATATTTTTGGGTTGATAATGTAATGATTGTTCAGTGGTTATGTTTTTTTCTTTTTTTTTACTGATCTGGTGGTCTTGAAAAAAAAAAGTGACTTTAAGAAGACGACTCTTATTTTGACAACTTGACCCGGATGTAGTTACCATATTCGGCAACAAGGAAGGAAGTTTGCAATCCTGCAGCCGATTAATGCAGTAAAACAGAAAATGTTTTGTTTTTATCCATGTTTTGAGTAGAAATCAAACATGTTTCTGTTGACTTTACTTTTTTTCATCCAAAAGTTTGGTGAAAGCAGCCAAAATGTTGTCAAACCAAACATTGTTATGGTGATGAGTGATGCATTTGTAAGTATAATTTATAGCATAGCTTTATTACAAAGGTTTAACTTGATAGTTTTTTTTTATTGTTCTCTTTTTCTTATAAAACTTTGTATTTGTGTGTATGTTTAAAGGATGGTCGGTTATCCTTTGATCCAGGCAGCAAAGTTGTGCAGCTCCCATATATAAATTACCTCAGGGAGCTGGGCTCCACTTTCCTTAATGCTTACACAAACTCACCCATCTGCTGCCCCTCTAGAGCAGGTAATGCATGGTAAAAAGGTAAGAAACGTGTTCCTTAACATGAAGTAAAGAGATTAACTGATTAACTTCCTGACATTTTTTCCTGTAGCAATGTGGAGCGGTCAGTTTGTTCACCTCACTCAGTCATGGAACAACTATAAGTGCTTAGATGCAAATTCAACAACATGGATGGATGTGCTGCAGAGGAGCGGATATCGTACAAAGATGCTGGGAAAGCTGGATTACACCTCAGGGAGCCACTCAGTCAGGTGGGTACTATCATAGAAGATTGTAATCCAGCCTGATTTCATTGAGTGTCTTTACCCTTGTTTGTTTCTTGGCCTTTTTTTAATTTTTATTATTGCAGTAACCGTGTCGAAGCGTGGACAAGAGATGTTCAGTTCCTCCTTCGTCAGGAAGGCCGGCCTGTTTCTCAACTTGTCGGCAACATGTCAACAGTAAGGATCATGGAAAAAGACTGGGACAACACAGATAAAGCTGCTCAGTGGATCCACCAAACAGCTGCACGTTTGAATGAGCCTTTTGCTCTTTATCTTGGCCTCAATCTGCCTCATCCGTATAATACTGAATCTCTGGGGCCTACAGCTGGAGGATCCACCTTCCGCAGCTCCCCATACTGGCTCTCAAAGGCATGTATTATTTTAAATGTATTTTTTCATTGCTGCATATATTCCGAACACTCACATCATTTATCTCCAAATGTTCAGGTGTCGTCTGAGCTTGTCTCTGTTCCTAAATGGTTGCCTATGGCAGCCATGCATCCTGTTGACTTCTACTCCACCTACACCAAAAACTGCAGCAGCGAATTCACTGAGGAAGAAGTTAAAAGCATTCGGACTTTCTACTATGCCATGTGTGCGGAAGCAGACGCCATGCTGGGTTAGTTAAGGGAAAAAAAGTTTGAAGGAAAATGGTGAAATGTAGTCAGGTTTAGAAAAACATCGATCACACTTTCCCGCATCTGTCCCAACTTCAGGGTTTCTTTAAGGCTTGACTGGACGATTTAGATTTTTGTTCTAAAGCTGCTGGCCTGGCAGGTAAACCTGTTCTGCTTTTTTTTAAGGACTACAGGACATATATGGAAAATTAGATAATGGATCAAATGAAATCTATTAATAGAAGTACTTTTAAAAGAACTAGAATACCATTGAAAACTTTCATATCGTTTTCACCCATTTGGAAAGTAAAACCGATCTAGAATCACATGCAATGAAATATTTTAAGCCTGTTTTTCTTGTAACTTAATAATGGCCTTGAGGTAACAAATGATTACAATTCAGTGTCTCTCAAAATTACAATTTTAGAATTTTTTAAAGCTTAAACACATGATGCCACACCCTGATCAGATCACAAACTGAGTCTGGATGAAAAGTGTGAAAAGACAGAATCCAGGGATGTTTTGGGATGAAGTGTTTTCTGCTGGTGTTGGTTCACTGAAGTTTTCTGAGGTCCACAGGCAACAATAATCATTAGATAATTTTAGCCTCTCAAAACCCACCAGGTGGCCAGTGACCCGTTTTAAAGAGTTTACAATTAATAAATCAGAATGCATGAGAATTACACCAGTAAGATGTTTACCAACATAGACGTGTTAGACATCGTTGAAAAGCTTAGATTCTCCACAATTCAACCTTTTTATGTTTATTTTATGGACACAGCGAGCACCAAACTAACACAGGTATAGCAGCATGTCAAAATGTAAACATGACAAAGCAGCCACAACGACAAGCATGTCTTTATTACTGCTGTTCAAAAAAGGCCTTATTATTTTCGAGAATAAAAAAACAACAACTTTGAGTCATGTTTGAACTGATGCAGTTTAGGCTGTGTACACTCACCCAATTTGAATTTATATTTTCAGAAACTAGAAGGTGTTAAGTTTCAAATAATGTATCACACATGTAATCTGGGCTTACATTTCCTAAGTTATTTGCTTTTCCATTTTGGTATGAAAAAAAGGTGAGGATTACCCAAAATGAGGTGGATGTTAAGAGCTTAGAGCAACTGATAAGCTTTATAGAGATGCTTATTTCATTTCACGGCTGGACTAACATCTGTCCTCTCTGCCAAAGGTACCAGAGGCTGGTTCAAAGATGTAACTGTTTGGTCAGTAAACTGGCTGATATAAAACCACTAACATTTGTAGATGCTTTTACTCTAATCAAGTACATATTTGTTATTTCTTAAATGTTTAATTACATTGATACAACAACTTTGGCAAGGAAATGTTTTTTATAGATTTCCATTCAATTCAATTGAAAAATAGATTGATTCCTTTAACCACTTTTTGTATTTATCTATTGTTTTACCAACCTAACAGCTATTTTAAACCATCATCTCATCATTTCACTTTGAATTGCATATTTTCAGCTAAATATTCTTGCCACAAAATAATATCGTAACATTTATGTTTGGCCAGATTTGAGAAAAGTGGCTTAAACTACCTACGATTGTACTGAAAATCTTGATTTTGCTACCTAACATCAAGCTGCTGATTGCAAGCTTTGATTGAAGAATTTATTTCCAATCTCACTTTGAATTGCATATTTTCATCCAAATATGATTCCCAGAAAACTAAATTATCGTAGCATTTAAGGTTGGCCAGATTTGAGAAAAGTGGCTTAAACTTCCTCCGATTGTTCTGAAAAGCTTGTTTTTTCTGTATGACATCACACTGCTGATTGCAAGCTTTGATCAAAGAATTTCTGGGCAATCTGACTCTATACTGTAGCTTAATATGATTTCCAGAAAAGAATAAGATTCATACATTTATGTACTTTCATACTTTTGATTGATTTCTCTAAAAAGCTTGATTTCGCTGTATAACATCTAGCTGAGAGATTGTAATATCTGCTTAATGTTGACTACCTTCAGGTCAGGTGATTTCAGCTCTGAGGGAGACTGGCCTGCTGGACAACACTGTTGTGATCTTTACAGCCGACCATGGAGAGCTAGCCATGGAGCACCGGCAGTTCTATAAGATGTCAATGTTTGAAGGCAGTTCTCACGTCCCCCTGCTTGTTACGGGGCCAGGGGTGAAGTCTGGGCTGCAGGTCCACCAGCCCGTGTCCTTGGTTGATCTTTATCCCACTGTGCTTGGTAAGAAATGAGAAGGAAAATCTGTTTAAAGTTTTGGTAACAGAATACATATATGGATTGAACATGTTTGTTTTTTTTGCAGAAATTGCTGGCATTCCAGCTGTTGGTTATTTAAGTGGAAACTCAATCCTGCCTTTTATATACAAAGCAAGACATTTTTCCAAGAACGATCACCCAGAGTGGGTACTGAGTGAATATCATGGCTGCAATGCCAATGCCTCTACATATATGCTCAGGGTTGGCCATTGGAAATATATTGCCTATGCAGATGGGCGCAGTGTGCCCCCACAACTTTTCAGTGAGTCTAAAGTCATGCAAACTCTTTATCTTCTCCTTAAAATATTTTTATAGAAAGACACCATGATTGATATTAATAAATCCCCCCTTCTGTAACCCTTTTCTGCAGATGTTACGCTGGACAAGGATGAACTGCACAACGTGGTTCTCAAATTCCCAGACGTCCGGCTTCAACTCGACAAGCTACTGCGCAGCATTGTGGATTATCCTAAAGTCTCTGCGGCCGTCCAACTTTACAATAAGAGAGAGTTTACTGTGTGGCGGGAGAGCTTAGGGAGGAACTATACTGAGGTCATTGCTAACCTCAGGTGGCATGTGGACTGGCAGAAGGACATCCCAGCCAATCAAAGAGCCATCGATACATGGCTGCAGAAGACTGAATGGCTAAAGTCGTAGTTATTTATTTTTAATCTTTTTAAATGGAATACTTTGAAATTCCAAATTTCAAGTCAAGAATGTTTTTGAAGAATTTGAGTTGGAAATGTCTGCCAATATTTGGCCAAAATGTTTAAAGATTATACACCATACACTGGAAAAACAATCTAGAAATAAGTACCGGTAACATTTTCTTAAATGAAGTGTATTTACCCCTAATTTGAGTAGGTAAATGATATAGTTTGCCAATGGAATGAGTATTTTACTCTTAAAATAAGTTTATAATAATAATTAGATAACATGCACTTGAAATAAGACAATGCAATTGTGTTTTCTTATTTTAAGTATAAATCCTCTTGTTCCATCGGCAAAATGTCTCTCTTACCTCCTCAATCCAAGAACAAATGCACTTATTTTAAGAAAAAATGACTTATCTAGATTTCGATTTTTCAAGTAATGCTAACCATATGTTAATCCCATTTAAGGCGGTGCACGGGTTGCACCTTTCTCCCACTATACTAAAAAACATTTATGGATGTTTTAATGTTAGGTGTTCTGAGGACCAGGGGACTTTGGCTCATCATTTTTTTCCATTGCCCTTTTGGTGGCACTCGTTTGATTTTCTGTCTGAGGTGATTGGGAGTGAGGTCCCAAGCAGCTCTCGCACATTGTCTAGGTAACTGAACCTGGATGGGCAGGGGACAAAAAAGAGCCACAGGTCATGTCATAGACTGCAATACTACTGTAGCTAGGAAGGGGATATTGTTCTATTGGAAATCAGATAAACTGTCCTTTTTGATATGTGGTTGAGAGAATAAGGAGATAATCTGGAGAAAATCAAATTTACTTTGCATAGCCCAGAAAGTGTTTTCTATATTCTCAACCAGCTCTTAGCTTGATGGATAAATTCATATAACACACACTCTGTATATATTTTATGTATATTTTCTGAAAAACCACCTGTCATTGTATGTTCTCACACTGTTGTGTGTTTTCTATTGGGAGATGAATGTTGGGTGTTTTTCATGTTGGAAAGCTATAGAATCAGTAAAATATATATATTAAAAAAAATGGAAAAGTAAAAAGGAACAAGTCCTTATTACTTTTGTAACATTCAAAGAAAGAGTATTTTCATTTGCAAAAATCAAGCTCAATGTAATTACCAAAAACTGTTGCTGCCCTTATATGGTGAAATGCAAAACAGCTTCTGAAAGAGATTTATATAAAATACCTACAGAAAGAGAAACGTGTCTAAATATATTTATAAATATATTTTTTACATTTTACCTTTTTCAAATATATATATATATATATATTTCTTTGATTTGTTTAGTTACATTAAGGCATGAAACTGACCTTCCGTCGTTATGTTCAGATTTTTTGTTTTTGTAAACTGATAATAAACCAGCACATGATGTTCACTGGGATCCTCAGTATTTATGGCATATATAAATATATGAAATAAATTGTTGCTGTTCTGCTCACTGGTGGTGGGGACAGAGGTGTAGCCAGAACATTTTTATAAGGGTGGCCAGGCAATAATCAATGTACACTGAGGGGTGGACAGAAGAGGATAGGAGCCAGAACCTCCAGGGTCAAGCCAAATAATTATTGTTTTATTTTTTTCTTTAAAAAAACAACAAAAGCTAGATATTTCTTTTAGATCTTTTACACACATCCTGCCCTCCAAAAATATCTTTCGAGATCCGGAGAAAAATACAAAAAAAAGTTGGTGCTTTTATTTTGAAAAGAGTATTAGCTACAAGCTACTACTTCCGGTTCCATTCAAGCAACAGCTTTAATCAGTTCTCTAATAACACTCTGGCTCTAATGGTGAATGTAAACTGTAAGTTATCAATACATTCATTTTTTAAAAACTATATAGGATAGAAGTGTTTCAGCTAAAAGATAAACCAGTCAAATGCTCGGCTTTTATCCATATTTAAGCTAATGTGATGAACTGTTGCGAGCAAACATCTTCTAGTAGGAACTAAATGAAGTAGTTTTTTACCACTAAAGGTGATCTGCTAGGGTTGTTTTCACCAGAAATAAAGTGCAGCTCACAACCAGCTGAATATTTTCTTTGACTAACGTTTAGTGCTATATATTGAACTTGTAGCATGTTGCTAAGAGTTACTTTCAGGATTTACAGTAAATGTCTGTTTCTTAAAGATGTCCAACAAAGAAGTGAAAGCCGCACTGAAAAGTGCCAGAGAAGCCATTAACAATAAAGAGTTCAAAGAGGTCTTAAAGCACTGCAAGGTAACGTGTCCCAAAAGTGCAGCCATCCACCTCTTGGTGGGAGAAAGTGAAAGAGCTGATTTTTCCTTCTATACTTTGTTTTCAGGCTGTTCTGAAACTTGAAAAGAATAATTACAATGCCTGGGTGTTCATCGGCAAGGCAGCCAGCGAGCTGGAACAACCCGATCAGTCCCAAGCAGCTTATAAAAAGGCAGTGGAGCTGGAGCCTGAGCAGCTGCTGGCCTGGCAGGTAAGGTCCTGCTCTGTGCAGGAGTCTCCATCTAAAACCTTCTGCACAATTTTCACACTGATTATGCAGAGGCGTAGCCAGAAAATTTTTATAACCAATGTGCACTGAGGAGTGGCCGAAAGTAGATCGGCACCAGAACCTCAGGGTCAATCTACACTGTTCCAACAGGAAAACTTCCATATTTTATAAATAAAGACAAACTATGCTTTCCTACAGCCTTTGCTAACAAATAGACAAATATATTTAAACATCAGTACTTTCTAGATAAAAGGTATAGCAGATTAAATTCTTTCAGGTTTGAGTTTTGGGTGAACATCTTTTCCATTGTCATTACTTACCTACTTTTATCAGTAATCATTCTGTATAAAATTGATATTTACAAGTACTAATATCTACATAAATTGATTATTTAATAAGTTTTTATTAAAATAGTTATCTATGATTTCACTGAAGACTCCTAGGCTACGTTAACACTGCAGCCTGAGGTGACCCAAATCCGATTTTTTTTTGGCCCACATGTGACCTGTATCTGATCTTTTCATGGCAGTCTGAAGAACACAGATCTTATTTTTTGCAATGCGACCCAGCCCACTTGGCTATGTGGTCCTGAATCCGATAGGAATCTGATCTTTTCAAATATGACCTGTGTCTGTACGGCTAGGTCGCATTCATCCAACCTGACCACCGTTAATAGCCGAAAAAAGGTCACTATTCTGCTTCTTGCTACACAGAAGCGGCAAGAAAAACAAATACCATCGAGGACGAAGATGGGGAGAGCAGTATTTTTTTTTAACCATCTTGAAAAGATTGAGGTTTTAAGCTTTGGAAAGATCGCTAGATGCGCTCCAGCACTACATCCATGTTTACTTCCGTAAACACAGAGCACGCTGGCCTGTGACGTCATTGCGTCCTTAAGCTGTATGAATACAGTTCACGCAGGAGATCACATACAAGTCGCATATATTTGGAAATGTAAACGGCAATGTAAAAAAATTGGATTTGACAAAAAAAATCGGAATTGAGCATCAAGGCCTGCAGTGTGAACGTAACCCTAGATGACTTGCAGAGACACATCATTTTCTCTTTACCCCATAAAACACAAAATCTATTTGAATTCTGTGCTTATCATCTTTAATGTTAGTATATTGATGTGCAGAATTAACCACAGTGTTTTTGTTGTCAGGTAATTGTCAATATGTGAAAAATGTAAATGTTTATAATATTCCAATTGAGAGTACTACTGTTGCCACCATCTATATTAGAGGGAAATAAATGGTAGGGGTGGCCAATGATTGCCCCCCATTTAGCTCCGCCCCTGCGTTTATGTCAACTTGGATCAATATGAATTTATCCTTTTTTGTAGGGATTGGCAAATCTTTATGAAAACACCGATCAGTGGGATTTCAAAGATGAACTGCCTAATGTCTACCAGAAGCTTGTGGAGCTTTATGCAAGGTAAGGTGTTTCCTTTTTATAATTGTTTATGTATCAGGACAAAGTATAGGGCAGTTGATAACGATATGAACAAAACAGCTTAAGAACCACTTGATTGACCACTTGAACACATGATTATCAAAAGGTAAATATGGGGAATGTTGGCTTAGTGGTCAGAGCAGTGCGCTTGTTCTCTAAGAAGGTTACAAGTATCTGGTTCGCTCCCAAAACAGCCTGCACTCTGGGTCCCTTAGCAAGACCCTTAACCCCACACCGCTCCCCGGGCGCTGCACAATGGCAGCCCTCTGCTCCCCAAGGGAATGGGATAAATGCAGAGGTAAATTACTCCTGTGTGAGATCAATAAAGTTCCATTCTTCTTCTTCTTATTATTATTATATCAGAGAGATTTGTGAAGTTACCACTGCTTTTGTCTGGATGTAATGAGCATAAACTAAGGGCTGCCCCTCCCTCATCTGTTCCTGCTGACTGACTGCTGACAAAAAGTCAAAATTGTCTGTTAAGAAATATTTCTGGACCCCAGATAAACACGGCAATAGCGCTAAATCTGAAGCTCCATGTACGTCGGAGGCCTAAGTCCTCGACGCGGCCGATCTGGGTTTGAATCCGACTTGTCTTTTGCCGCATGTCTCTCCCCCTCTCTCATACCCTGTTTCCTGTCAGCCTACTGTAAAAAACAAAAAACAAAAAACGAGCCACTAGTGCCGTAAAAAAAAGTTAGACTGGGTTCTGCAAGAACCTATAGTCAGTTATTATGAGCAATAGCCTTTAGTGGTGCATTATGCTTGTGAAATTCTTATAAAGGGCAGAATGTCCAAAAATACTGCTGGTTTTTGGAGAGTTTTATATTTTTTTTATTTATTTGACCTAAAAGGAATCTTTTATACTACTTTTCTTCTGTTATTTATATTTGTTTTTACTTTTCATTTCTTTTCTCTAGCCTAATCCCATACTGGCCCATAGCTAATCACAACACATTTTTAAAAAAGATTTTTACTATATAAAATTAAGTATCCATGTTTGATTTTCTTCTACAGGACGGATAAGAATAAAAGCTATGACATGATCAAAAAGCTGTCAGATATTTATCTGTCCGACAGGGAGTATTTGAAGGTGTGTACATTTCATATTTCAAGCACGCAGCTCTTTATTAAAACATCTTTTTAAAACATTCATTTTCACAATAATTAACCTTCCACTTGTTTATGAGCAGCTGGCTAAGGTTTGGCTCCAGCTCGTCCAGCTGAAGGAGGAAGACGGCGCGGAAAAGAAGGAGTTAGTTCAGTTATTGCAAACAATG